TTCATTTCTTTCTGTTTTTGTTTTTTTTGAAACTTGACCCTTCCCTCAGAACCTTCTCTCCTGGGTTCAACAGTGATTGTGCTGTCCAAATCAGTATTGGCAACAGTCTCCCAAATGAGCTACCTGCTCGTGAGTATCCTAGACAATTGCACTGTGGGTATGGAAAGAACTTCTATTTGCATGTACTACATTCTGAAAGTAAGAAGAAAATTAAGTTTTAGCAATACTCCATGTGTAGTGTGGACATCAGTCCGCATAATGATGCCATGGATTAGAAAGAGCTGAACTCAGCCGTGAACTGGAGTGTCCTTTTAGGAGGCACAGTGGTCTGCAGGCCTAGAGAAAGGGAGTCGTGGCACCTGGGTCCTCTTTTTCTCTCTCATCTTGATGTAACATCACAGTTTACTTGCTCCCATTTTATGAGAATTATGATTTCTGCTATCCAGTTTCAACTAAGCTCCCTGTAATGGACAAGTAGCTTATGCAATCCATGCAAAGCAGCCAAGATTTGCAAATGTGCCACTAACGCAAACAAAGAATAGCTCTCTCTCTCTCTCTCTCTCTCTCTCTCTCTCTCTCTCTCTGTATATATATATGTATGTATGCATTATATATATATATATACATATATATATATATATATATATATATATATCAGAGTTGAAACAGGATAGCAGTCATAAGCAGGCAGCTCTAAAGCTAGACTCCCCAGGCTCAAATTCCTATAACAATGATGTACTTACAAAGTGAATTTGGGCAAATCACTTAATCTCACTGTGTATCCGTCCCTCCTTGTCACTTAGGAATGTAACAAGACACTCTCATCCCAACAACAATGGCTGTGAGGCCAATAAAATGAGTAAAACATTAAAAAGTAGCTTTTAGAGCTAGGTGTGGTGACACATGTCTGTAATCCTAGCACTCTGGAGACTGAAGAAAGAGGATTATGAATTAAAAGCTAAGCAGGCCACATAGTGATTTCCAGGCCAAGCTGAAATTTAGTCTCAAAATATTGACTACTAGCAACAAGGAAAACTGCACTTTTCCTCAGCATCCTTGGAATAAGCTACAGAAAATAGATCTGATCATCTAAAATTATCAAAAAAGAGTAGTTGTGATGTGTGTTCCTATCTTCTCTATAGCTAAAGTGATTTGGGTCATGGGATATAGTGAATAGTAATTGTGGTGTGTGGGTGCATGTGTGTGCTGTGTGCTGTGTATTTGTGTGTGTTCTGTATATGGCTGTATATATATGTGTGCATATATAAGAGAAACAAGTAGAACGTTATAGTTACAGAACAGTAAAGATTCTAGCAATTATCTTTGCATTTCTAAAGTCATTCAATACACAATGCAAAGTGAATCCCATTTGTACCTTCTTATGTAATAACAGAGAATAAAATAGCTTGTGTACCCTATGAGAATGCAAAGTTTGTTCCTTATAAAGTAAAAATAGCTAAGATAATTCATGGAAAGATTTTTTTGTCATAAAATTCTTCTGACAAACAAAGAAACTCAACTAATGATTTAAAGAAATAGCCATCAGTTGTTTATGTGTATTTATCTATTGGCCATTCTTACTTCTTCTGAGAGTCTCTCTTTAAGTCTTTAGCCCATTTATTGATTGAGTTGTTGAGTTTGGGACTGTTTATTTCGGGGGGGGGGTAATTTTTTACTTTGAAGTATGTTTTAGACATGAGGCCCTTTTCTGCCTAGCTAGTAAATACCTCCCTTTCTGTGGGCTTTCTATTCATCTTGCTAGCTATGTCCTTTGCCATACAGAAGCATTTCAGTTTGATTCAATCTCATTTATTGTCTCTCTTTGATTTGTTGTGATTCTGAATCTTTATTTAAGAATGGCCATTAGAAACATAAAGAAGTGTTCAACATCTCTGGCCATAAAATAAATGGAAATCAAAATAACATTGAGATTCTACCTCACTCCAGTTAGAATGGTCATTATCAAGAAAACTAACAATAACAAATGCTGGCAAAGATGTGGCCCAAAGAGAACTCTGCTACACTGTTGGTAGGAATGTAAATTTATTCAACCACTCTGGAAAGCAGTATGGAAATTCCTTAAAAAACTAAACACAGAGCTTCCCTATGACCCAGTAATCCCACTCCTGGGCATTTATCCAAATGACCACAAATCAGGTCACACTAAAGCCACCACTACAACCATGTTCATTACAGTATTCTTTACCATAGGCAACATAGGGAAACAACCCAAGTGCCCCTCAGTGGACAAATGGATCAAGAAAATGTGGTATATATACAGAATGGAATTCTACTCATCCATCAGAAAGCATGATATTGTACCATTCATAAGGAAATGGTAGGACTTGGAAAAAAAATTATACTAAGCAAAGTAAACCAGACCCAAAGAAATGTAGACTGCATAGTTTCCCTTATTTGTGGTTACTGGAATGTACCTAGAAATCTACAAGTAAACACGTGTGTGTGTGTGTGTGTGTGTGTGTGCGTGTGTGTGTGTGTGTGTGCATGTGTGAAATATATATACATATATATTTATATTGAAATGAACTCCAAGAAAAGGAAACAAGAGACACTTTTTAGTTGCCATTGTTTCTTTTCCTTTTGTCTCCTTTGTTACTTGGTTGTATTTGGGAGAGTAAAGGGGGGCACAGAAACGGTAGAACAAGGGTGAACAAATACACCAGATGCTTGATACTATGTGGGAAATGAGCTGTATGTCTTATGGATCAGGACAGAAGGGAAAAACTGAGAGAAGGGGAAACATGATTCAAAAAGAATTGTACTCATTATCTGATTCATGTAACTGTAACCCTTCTGTATATAACTCAACAATAGCAGTAAATAAAAATTAAATTAAAAAAGAAGTAGCCAACAGATTAGTAACAATGAGCTTTTCTATAGGTTGAATGGAAAAAAATCACCCACTTTTTACATTATCTTGGTTGAGCAGCTACTTTAGAGATTATCTTTCAATAACAAAACATACTTCAAACCAATACAAAACATGACATAACAAAGTATACTCTTAATGATAAATGCCTATACAGTTCCCAAGAAACATTGATGAGATTGTTCAATAAAGACTAACACTGAGGAAGAAGATGTGTTGAATGGAATAAAAGACCCCAATGTTAGTTGGCAGAGCTGGCATAGCATCTAACATAGATCACATTAATTTGGTGAGAGGAAGCCAGAGTTGAATATGTCCAATAATTGCCAGCTGCCATCACTGTGCTTGTTTTTATAGCTGTAGTATTACAAAATAAAGTAATTCTAAACTATGAATTACTTTATACCATGAAGTTTTTCTCATTCTTTTCCTGGCATATTTGAATTAATGGCACATTAATCTATTTCAATTTAAGTTGGGGGACATTTGTTCTTTTGAACAATGATCCACTCTTTATTGTGATGTCCAATGTTCAGTACAATTGTACTTCCCACCGTAGGTACAAACATTCAAACACATGCTCAGTCAACATTGTGATAGAACATTGCCTAAACCACAATGCAAATGCTAATTCTAATACATTTTAAAGTTGCTTAGGCTTTTCCAAGGAAAGGGTCTGTGTTGAAGTATTTAACATTTTCTAGATGAAAGATATTTCTCATGCCAAGGTTAAATGTCTCAAGCTACATTTCAAACCTATTTTTTTCAGTATAATATTTCTTAAAGTTATACACTGCTCCTGTGAAAGAATGCATATACCTAAGTAGGCAGTCTCCTTTGAGATGCTCTGGACTTTATTAAAATATTTATGAAAACAAAAAGCAAATGTGAGATGGGGCAGGAGAATAGAAGACACATTGTACTCAGAAACTTACCTGTTGAATTGAAACCCCTTTGTACAACTACTTAAAGATAATAAAAAGCAAAAATAAGCCAGGTACCCATGCCTCACATCTGTAATCCTAGCTACTAGGGAGGCAGTGATCTGAGGACCATAGTTCAAACCCATCCAGGGCAGGAAAGTCTGTGAGCCTCTAATCTCCAACTAACTACCAACAAGCTGGAAGTGGAACTGGTGCTAGCCATGAGGAAAAATATCTCAGGGACACTGCCCAATCCCTGAGTTCAAGCCCCAGGACCAACACACACCCCCCTCCAAAATGATTAAATACAAATAATAAATAAAAATGCAAAAGAAAAGCAAATGTGCAAGTATGAGTACTAACAGGTACATTTGAGGAGGTAAAGAACCAGGCTCCTTTAATGGGGTTGCTTGTGTGGTGGCATGCTAGCATGGTAGAGGCACGTGCACTGGCAGCTGTGGTGAACTGAAAATTTGTAGGAGCATTCCAGCTCCCAGCTCATGGGCTTTCACAGGTGGCAGAGTGTAGCAAGAACAGCGACTGTGGGAGTTCTGCCTGTTCTATTCCACAAACTCAGAAGAACCTTGAGACTAGGTGGGTTTGGAGTTAGTAGGTTTATTAGGGGGGGAAACTGTGGTTTGAATTGCCAGATTTTGAAAAGAGAACTCAAAGGAAGCATTCAAGATTGCCAAAGGTATATGAAAAGACACATACTAACATCACCAGCAGAAATCACCAATTTCACACACATTCGGATAAGGTGGCTACGGTTGTGTTAAGCCTCACTAATGTGAGGCTTTCTTAACAATTCTTTTAAATCCAGTCTTGTGATCATTTGCCTAATTCACTCATGGCAATGTTTGTTGTTGTTGTTAGGGGAAAAAAATCACCACGCAGTGAATTTTTGTCAGGAAAACAAAATGATATGGTATGTCCATTTTGAAAAGCAAACAATCTGGCAGTTTCTTTAAAATGAAAACTGGAATCACCATAGGATAGCTAACATATGACCCAGTAATTGTGCTTCAGAGTACATGTCTATACAAACTGTCTATGAGGAAAGGGACTCAGGGAGGTACCTATGGGCACTCATTCATGGGGAATTATCCAAATAATCAAATGCTAGCAAGGACCCAGATCCATAGGTAGAAAAGCATGGTCTATACATATAAAAGAATATTACTCAGACCTCTTTCTGGTTCATAAATGTGATGATTGGGTTCTCACATGCTTGTATGATATATGCCTCCCTCAAACCTCATTACCACGTGAACACAATACCTGTCTGGTGTGAAGGAAGAAAAGGATATCACTCAGTCTTCAAAGGGAGTAAATGTTGACAGTATAGATCAATCTTGACAACATCCTAAGTGAAATGTGGCAGCCACAGAATAACAAGCACTATATGATCCCATCCTTATGAACTACTTATAGCAGTCAGATTCATCCTAACAGAAAATAGATTTCCAGGACTTGGAAAGTGATAAGAAATGATTATTCTATTACTATAGAATTTCAGCTTTTGGAGAGGGAAAAGAATCCACATGTTACTGATGGAGAAGTTCATAGATGATATCTCTTAGTCCTTAAAAACAGATTCAGCAGTCAATGTTGCATTATTTTTATTTTGTAAATGTATGTTATTTGTATTTTAGCCATAATTTAAATGCACATATATGCTATATATTATACATTACATATTTGATGTTTATAAAATATATTTATTTTATACACAATATATGTAACATATTGTAAAGGAGTTCTAGCTGGCAGAGTTTTCCTTTAGCAAGTTCTACAGATATCTTGGGACCCACAGTAAAGAATATTTGCAAATTCATTCATTTGTTCCATTGGTTCATTGATTGGAAAGTATACACTTGTGGAACCTTTTATTAAGGATCAAGCACAGCGTAGAAATGTGATTAATACAAAGTCCCAAGTGACTGAAGAAAGGGGACAGGAAACGAAGTTCCTAATACTTACAGAATCACACTCACTGATTGCATTTTATAATGAAGTATTACTGAGAGGCAGATATTTTTATACCTGCTGTGTCATGAAACTCAAGGTGGGAAAAGTCAGGCAATCTTCCTTCAAACATCAAGCAACCAGTACGAAACAGAGCACAAATTCAAATTTGGTCCTAGGATTGATTACACTTAACTAAGTGGTGGGTCCAATTTAGCAAAATAGTTGTCTTCCTTAAGGAGAATATCTTTCTTAACGGATAATTAGGAGGTTATTGAAAATGTCACAAGCTGCATGATAAATATCTAGCTTCCCATACAAGCAAGATGCACTCTTGCTGACACATATATTAAAGGCCTCTATTATATGTATTTAATTAGCACACGTTATTACTAATAATACTCCTCAGAATGTACTAATAGTTTATTCATAAGACTAGCTTATCTCATTTCTACTCTCCAAGCACTCTTATTCAGAATCCTCTTTATTCATGTATTCTGTTTGTATCAAGATACTAGTGAAAATATTTTTAAACACCTGGATGATAGTTCTACCTGAGATTCTTAAGTTTAGGCAACAATACTTTAGAAAACCAAATGTGTTCCACAACTCCCTTTGAACTTTTACCCACAGATTTAAGCTGGAGATTGGAAAATATAACAAAATAAAGACACTTTAGGAGATTACTCTTAATAACCAGTAGTAAATGCAGGAAGATAGCTAGTGCTGAAATTGGAGTAAAATAGCAGAAAATACTCCAATAAAAGGGCTAGTGAGATAGAGGAGAGTAAGAAGTGAAGAAGGAGGAGATGGATGAGAGGAGGAAAAGGAAGAAAAAGAGGAAGGAGAAAAGAAGAAAGAGGAAGAAGAGGGAGAGGAAGGAGGAGGAGGGAAGGAAGAAGAGAGTATTAGAGATTATATCTTAATACAAAATTATATTTGGGTATGGTGGTTCATGTCTATCATCACAGCTATGATGGGAAGTGGAAATGGTCCAGGCAAACCTGAACATGAAGAGCAAGACCTTATCTCAACAATACCTTGAGCACACAGAACTGGACGCAAGGTTCAAGGGATAGAGTACCATTCTAACAAGCTTAAAACGTAGAATACAAATCCCATGATCACAAAAATGTGACGTTATCATGTGAAGGTTTACAGTTAGGATTTTAGGGATTTTTTTAAAAACTCTTCTTAGGGAAGCCCCTCTGTAGGTGCCAAGAAGAAAAGTATAGTGAGGTATACCTATTGGTCACAACTGAAGTAAGTCTGCATAACCAGTAAGAAAGCACAGTCATATAAAACAACAAATATTTATTCAGCTTATTCTTCTGTGATCAGCTTCACTGAGACTCAGGTAGATGACTCTGGATGTTGAATGGGGTCACACATTTTGGAAGTTGGCCAGGAATGAAAGCATGGAACCTGAGCTCTTCAGGAGTTTTCCAGGTTAGCTTTGTTCCCTAGCAGAGATACCTCAGTGACTCCTGCTCTTTGCCTCTCATGGTGATAGAGGACAAGCAAGGTCATCTCTCTTCAAGTGTTTTGGGTTTTTTTTAACCTTCTATCATTTTATTCCCACTAAATTTCCATTGGTCAAAACAATCATGTGGACAAATCCTTAGTCAACTTGTAGGAAAATATGCTGTTTTATGAGAGGTTCTTCAGAGTCTTATGGATAGGGCAGGAATTCAAAGAAAAAGCATCAGGGCCAGCAATGCTGTAAGTCATTCTAGAGAAACATGGTGACTGGTATTCAGGTGGGTTCTTAACCATGGAGTTCTAAATCCATACAGCTGATATTTTGGAAGGAATCAGAAACCACCTCCCCAGTCCTCTTCAGCAGGCTAGAAGATATACCAGGAATACGATTAGATTAGATCTTTACTCTTTAAAGAAACCATTTGGGCTGGACGATGGTGGCTCACACCTGTCATCTTAGCTACTCAAGAGGCTGAGATCCGAGGATCATGGTTCAAAGCCAGCCCAGGCAGGAAAGGCTGTGAGACTCTTATCTCCAATAAACCACTCAGAAACTGGAAATGGAGCTGTGGCTCAAGTGGTAGAGTGCTAGCCCTGAGCTGAAGAGCTCAGGAACAGTGCCCAGACCCAGAGTCCAAGCCCCATGAAAGAAAGAAAGAAAGAAAGAAAGAAAGAAAGAAAGAAAGAAAGAAAGAAAGAAAGAAAGAAAGAAAGAAAGAAGAAGAAGGAAGGAAGGAAGGAAGGAAGGAAGGAAGGAAGGAAGGAAGGAAGGAAGAAAGAAAGAAAGAAAGAAAGAAAGAAAGAAAGAAAGAAAGAAAGAAAGAAAGAAAGAAAGAGAAAGAAAGAAAGAAACCATTTGGTCACTACATGATAAAAATTTTGTGTGTGTGTATGTGTGTGTGTGTGTGTGTGTGTGTGTGTGTGTGTGTGTGTGTGTGTGTGTGTGGCTTTATTCATTCTTGGGTCAAGCCAAATGAGATTGAGGAGACAAGCAAAGAAAAAATGTATAGATCCTGGTAAGATTTAAATTTAGTAAAGAATAATTCAGCTAAAAGTATTGATCACCATGTCAAGAAATTTTCATAATTAAATTAAGCTAAGATTATTTGTTCATGATGGCATTAGTACTATGTATAGGTTTTGATCATGGGACTTTGGTCATGTATGAGAGAACTGTTCATGTAGGGATTGATGAGAAATTACAAAAAAAAGAGAGGGGACATAGAATGCTAATGATATAGCTTAGGACATGCAGGAAGGATAAAGAATGCAAGAGAGAGGTGGTAAAATACCAAGATTTCAATGAACAACAAAAAACAAAGTTCACTTCCATGCAAATCTAGCCCAACAAACAAGCTTCTGTGAAATCCATCAGTCTGATGTTAAAGACTTGGTGCTTTACCAATGATATTCTTGAAGTAAAACAATTTTTCCTATGAGATGAATAGATATCCAACCATGCAACTGCTGAGTTTCATAAGTAGCTAAACATCCACACTTGCTCAAGTTTACTCACTTTCTCCATTGGACATGTAGACAAATAAAGAGTGAAGAAGTCAACACAAATGATAAAATATTTCTTAAATGGGCACAGCCGCCTTTTGGTCATTCAGACACAGAAAAATCTCTTGAACTGGCTTCTACATATTTGATTCAGAGAAACCTAAACTCGGTCAACTGTATTCTTTTTCCCATTAAAGGGGAAAAAAAAGGAGGGGTGGAGTGTATCCCATGAGTGCAATGGTGGAAATTGAACCCGTATGTTTTCTGATTCATTTACATTTAGCTCATCACAGTATTTTGTAAGCACTGAGCTCTTTGGTGGTCAAAGAGGCTTTGTGATCCTTTTCCTTAAAAATGGAAGGAAAAAAAACCCATTGGTTTATTATAGAAAAAAATTAAGTTCAAAAGAAAGTTAAAGCATAGTCTTAAATTTATTATCTCACAAGATTGGAGTGAGTATTCACCTTGGAAAATCTGTTTTCTGAAACTGGTTTCCTCTGTCTCCTAATTCATCAAAAGATTTCAATTCTACCTATACAGAGTTGACCTCATACCCACCACTCCCATGAGTACCAAAGCTCTTGCTGATAAGAGCAGACCAAACAGAAAAAGATCAAAGCCACCAGAAAGATCCAGGAAAGCAACAAGGAGGTTTCTGATAGAAAGTTCCAAGAAGTTTGGGGGGAATACAAGGTTTTTGGAGTGTAGGATGGATGGTTCTGTGTTTGGATGGCAAAGGTAAAGAGTATATTCTTCTATTCATCAAAAGGAGGAAGAAATGGTTGGGCTTCTTGTGACATTTCAGAACCCAGATGTAATTGCCAAAACTTGATTCACATTCATCAAAAGAACCAGCGAAAACTTTCCTTTGCTTTATGTAATTCATCTGGGGCCCTGTCCAGAGAGGTGAATAGCTTTTCCTAACAGGTCATTGGGGGTAGATTTAAGGGGAGCATAAATATAGCCAGAATAGAAAATGGCAAAATAGAAACTACCTTTAGATAGAAACACTAAAGAAACTAGTAGAACAAAAACAATGACCTCAGGGAACAAGCTCACTTCCCTGAGATGCCATATATTATATCTAATACATATTGAATACATATATATGTATTTATGTATTTATATATACTTTTTCACATCTATTACTAGTTTACTAGTTTCTTTCTTTTTTGTTTTTTTTATTTTTTGTGGGGTTTTTTTGCCGGTCATGGGGCTTGAACTCTAGGCCTGGACACTAACCCTCAACTCTTCAGCTCAAGGTGAGCACTCTATCACTTGAGCCAAAGCACCACTTCTGGTTTTCTGGTAGTTTATTGAGATAAGAGTCTCATGGAG